TTTTCCTGGAAGTAAAGGTAAAACAAATATGTGAAAGAAAACAGGTTAATCTTGCCTTCTCTTATGATGACGGACTGTTCCAAACAAACAGCACTTAATCGCTGAAGTGTCAGTTTTGATGAAACTGAGGGTCTGAGAGAACACGATGATGAAACAAAATGAGGTGTAAACAGGAACTGTTGGGGTGTTCGACTGAATGAAGCGGGAAGGAGAGAAACACAGGACTCTAAATTGATCTATAGGAGGACCTGCTTGGTGCGAAATATATCATTTTGTATTCTTCATCAGTGAGTTGTTGTTGTTGTTTTCGGTTAATCAAGGAAACGAAGGCTTGTGCTTGTCGGATGAAATGTCCCAAAAGCCAAAAGAGGCAAGAGTGGGGACGGCGCAGAATCCCCAAACAAACATACAAGCAGAAGGGTCATTGAAAACTGCTTAGAATGGAAGTAAGTTCAATTAGTTTTAGGGCCTTTTGCAACCACAATTCGAGCTGAATATGCGCTTTTTAGGCTCTCAAAAAGTTTTCTGAAAAACATATTTATAAAATTTGCATATTCCAAGGTTAGAGTTAGGACCACACAATAACCCAAAGCTTTCTTGAAAGAAACTAGATATACATTGCACGAGGTTTCTAGTTAAAAGTAAGACAAAAGAAATCCAAATTTTGAGTCAGTGCCACGACAAAGTAAGGAATAATTATCATACGACCCGTCCGCTGCGCTCGTTCAATCTCATAGAAAACCATACTGAAAGCTGGCGTGGGTAAACCGGGACAGATTGATATTAGCTACTTTGGAAAAAGCCGTCTGGTCCTGCTGCCCCCACGTTGTGTTGTTGCGAAAAATGAAAAGGAAAAAAGAAATGAGAGAAAAATTGCATTTTAAAAAGAATTGGGAGTTTCTTGTTCTGACTGGGAAAAATAAAGCATAACTTTTAATTAAATTTTTTTGTGCTCGTGTGGCTGCGTGTGCCCGACTATTGCGTCCTTTAAATTCTAGGTTGGAAATTTTCAGCAATTAGTAATCATATGATAAAATTATTATTCAGCTTACTGATTTTGGTAGGGCAGACGGGAGAATATTTTCCCTTCCGGTCCGACCAAACTAAGTCAAAGATTATATAATATCAAAAGAGAGGCTTGGCACTTTTTTTGCGTAATCAGTGATGACACCTAGTATGAATTCCGGAAATTAAAGTGTTACCAACAAAGTCTTGGGTGACGAAAAATTTTGTTTCATTTTAAGTTACTAAGGGACAAAAGAATAAAAGAGAGGATGATACTTGCCAATCTCGTTCCCAGGGCGCTTTTCCTTTCAAAGAGGCGACAGGCGGGACAAGGCCCTGACGTCGGCCAGTCACGTGGTGATTTCAAATATTTATTCCATAACTGATGTATGCATTCCTGTGGTTAATCCTACTTGTTTATTGCTTGATAGAGTTTCCTCAAAATCTACATAAGCATATTCCTGGGAATTTCGCTTAATATGCGCTAAAAACTTCGCTACGGTGGTTCATAAAGACTAATAATTCGGTGAGTAAAGGTAT